AAAAGGCCCATTTACATCCAAAGGGGGCTCTCCAGGTTAAACTCTGTTTTATTTCTCCGTGGCAGTAGCTCCTGCTCCAAAGGGAAACAAAACAATGTGGAATTAGAAACACACCAGAAGTAGTATTCATTTCATTAGCTTTGTGGTATTTTCAGCCCTGGTGTAGCAGCAAGTAACAACTGTCTGTGAGAAGAAGTTCTTGGATTCTTTTACAAACTGTGATAAGATCAGATACTTTATGGGTTCAATTCTCTCAGGCAGAGAAATCTATTAACCTTATTTAAGGGCTCCACAAGCAGGTACACCTCCATTTTTTAAGTTGCTGCTGTTTCACCACTATCTGAGCCACATTCTGGTGCATCCAAAGATCTGACCTGAGCTGCTGGAGTAGATGAGGCTGCTATAAATCCACAACTACCTCCCATTAAATCCTCTAAATAAATGAATAAACCAATTTAATGGATAAAGGATGCTGCGTCTGACTGTTACTATTATTATTCATTATTATTCCTGCAACACAAATGTCACTTTTCAACTTTTAATATGATAACTTGTTTATTAGTTCACTTAACTAGGTTTTTGCACATTATTAAAATTCTGCAATAGCACCTTGAAAGGAGATTTATTTCCCACAACACCTAATAATCTGCCTCACAAGTTACCCTCAGTTTGCATTTGCCTCTTGTGCATTTTGATTTCATTTTCTGATGTCTGTGGGAGCAAATAAATCTTTCACAGACTGTGTGAACAGAAAGATTTTTCATTCAGTGCCTTATTGCAGCAGCCTGTTGATTAAGCTTTTGAAATAAACTGCATAGGCAGATGGATTTTTTTAAAGATAGTATAAATTATGATTATACCAGGTTGCGGATACAAGAAAAGTGGCACAGAAATCTATTTAAAATGTTTACTGTGTGACTAACATTTTGATTTTCAGTCATTGGGGTCATGATGTGTTGCAGAGAGAATAAAACAGGGAAGAAAAACATTTTGTCTATGAATAAACATGAGTGGTTTTCTGTGAATGAAGCTCAGATTTATGTGAGAACGATTCAAATCAGCAGAAGTCTCATTAAAATGTAAATGCACATGCATCGAACGTGGAAAGGCATCGTGTTGTTTTGATCCCTGAAATGAATCTTTAAGACCAAAATAGTCTGCAGGAGCAAACACCCATGCTTTGAATTATTGCTCATAAATCACAGCTTGTACATCAATACAGGTTCCTATAAAAACATGTTGGACAGCTCAGTAAGTTAATCCTGCAGCAGCTGTTCAAAAGTCTGGAGTAGCAACTTGCTTAAATTCAGCAGAAATCCGGTTTTGAGCGTAAAACCAGGCAGAACCACGGATCATCCCCCTTAGAACAAACACATGGAGGTTATTGTCAGACTCCTTTGGCTCAATATTAGCTGCTGAGCTCAGAAAGCTCGGTGAATCTTTCAAGGACCTGGATTTCTCTTGTGAAATGAGATTTTTTTTATGCTTCCAAGCAAACCACATGTTATTGCTTTGTGATTTATCATTTCAATAGTCATCTCATTCTAGAGCTTAAAAAGGCATTAGAAAAGCTGAATCCACATACAGCACACGAGAGCTAGCTGGCTTTTTTATTATTCTGCTGTTTTGTTGACATCACATCTTTTAACTCCATGGAAGAAAAGGAAAACAAATAAAACTGTAAGGCCAGTTTTGGGTTCCTTTTTGAAGGAGAAGCTGAACTATAATGAAAAATGGTGGCCATTTTTTAAATAAGCAGGATGTTGGAATCTTTTTTTATTTGTATTATTTTTTTGGATAAATGAACCTTTTTCCTAGACTTTGGTTGAATTGACTCATTTTGTATCAGTTTGAAGCCATTTAGTGTCATCAGAACTTACTCTTCTCATTTCCTTTATCCCATTGAGGATTGTGGGAGCGGACTCTGGACTGCGGCAGGGATCCTGGACAACTCATTTCAGGACAAAAACAAAACCAAACGATACTCTGAGTTACTTAAAATTGTTTTTTGTGAAAGTGAAAATTAGGAGAACCCAACCATTAAAGGAAAATGAAAGAAAAAACAGCTGAGCAGCCCCTTGTCCAGTTTGCCAAACACTGATCATTTTACTTTAAATTTTCATTTTCTAGAACTCTAAGCCTCATTTTGTCTCTCTTGTACCAGTTCTGGTAGTGCACCCCTGCTGCCATATCTGTAATTATTCCATGTCTGTTCCATGTTGTTTTTTTTTATCTCTTTATGGAATCAGACTCAGGTTTCTCTGATTCCTGGCAGTGTAAACAGTTCTCACAGACTTTTGCAGATGGCTAATTTAGTGTCTCACAGACAAAAACAACCATTTCAAACATGGAAAACAAAAATGCGTCCATTAGGATGTAAGGTTTATGAAATTCATCAATTTTTTATGCTACCATTATTAGTTTGTGTACAATCTGCAGGCTGCAGCTTTGTATAAAAAGGCAGCACTGGAGTATGGTAAAAAGAAAGCAGGTTTTAGTGTGTTTGTTAGGAGGTGGGATTGGGGGCTGGCGATAAGATTAAGATGAAGAGGGATTTCTTCCTCTCTGAGCTGGGAATGTTGTGTGCTTTATTTCTGCAAATCTGACCTGCTCACTGAATATTTTCAGACACACAAAGTCCAAACTAACATGTCTTTTATTTAAAGTTGGTAATGACACCTTTGTGCCAAGCACCTGTTGAGTGTAATCACTAACAATTAATCACACAAGAAGAGAACCCTTCAGTCAGATTCAGTTGCCTCTCCTGTCATTCACTCTTGTACCAAACTATTAGCAGCTCCATTGTTCTGCCTGCTTGTTGACTGCCCTGGGGGATGCTGTGGCACCTGAGCCAGAAGGCAGAGAGAGATGCAGGTGATTAAAGCTGGCAGGACAGAGCCAATGCACGATAAACAAACACACCGTGGATGTTGGAGGAAGCAGCCGCCGCCTCAAACCATCTGCTGTGGAAACAACTTTGCTGCTACATGTTTGTCTGCATCAATAAAAAATGAGGATCGAGAGGAGAACTTGTTCATTATTGAGCAGGTGTGTAGGACATAATGCACCTACATGTGCAGGTAGGAGGGAGACGCATGCTGAAAAGGCAGGTGTTGTTTGAAACACTCAGATGCCCGAGTCAGGCAGAACCTAACAACATCCTGTCAAATGATAGGTCAGTTTTCTCTTTAAAAAATGTATTTTACTTTGCAGCGGCAATTTTTTGCAGGTTTTATTTCTCATCAGTCACACCTGACTTTATAGTTAAGCTTAAAGTGTGGAAGTTTAAATCATGATGAAAGGGTAGATAGCCCCCTCTAGTGGCTAACATAAAAACAATCATGACTTTAGTTGGTCTTTACTCCCATTTAAATGATTTATGAGGACTTCAACAGCCTAAACAATACAAGTGATCTTCACTTTTGTGTCTTCACTTAATCTTAAACAATTATTATTAGGACACCATGATGTAATACAGACCTCCCACATAATCATCATCAGCCTCTAGAATCGCATTAAAGCTCAATGGTTGAGTTGTCCCAAAGCGTAAAAGAGAAATCCAGCCTCAGCTGTTTTTATTCTTAATCCCACATCCTTAAGGGTCCAGTTTCTGTTAGGGGCATTAACACCAAACTGCAGATGTAGATACCCAAATGTCTCTGAATCAGAAGATCAGATTACTTTTCAGACCAAACATGATATTTGCACAAAAAATGTATTTTTGGCTCCATTGAAGCAAGTTTCCCAGTTTGAGCCAAGCTGGGTGAGTCCAGTTCAGTGTGTGACGTAGATCTGTGTGGCCCTTTCTGACCGCAGCATTTCCCCATCTATGTTTTATTGGCGGCTAATGCAGGAAAAAGGAAAAGCCGTGTTCTGAACAAACCTGTGGCCAGTTTAGCTCACAGAGAAACAAACATATATTTTTTTAAGTTTCCTTGGGGCCTTGTGCATTTGAGAAAATTTACAGCACACACACGCACGCACGCACGCACACACACACACACACACACACACACACACACACACACACACACACACACACACACACACACACACACACACACACACACATTTTTCTGTTGTTATATTCAGTAAAAGATATTATCAACAAATATTTGAATAATAATTTGAACAATAATTGAATGTTATTATTTCATTTTGGGGATAATCTTATTTTATTTTTATCGTCCCACTCTTGGGCTTCCGTAGTTCAGAGTAAGGTAAGCCCTCCCATAACAAATACAACACTGTTTGAGTAAACTGGGCCACATGAATGTTTCTCCCACAAAAACATAACCTAAATCCTTGTTCACACCAAATGCAGAATGGATGTGATGTGGTTTCCGTACAACTTCCACTTAGGGCAAAAATCGCTGCATCAAATCAGGGCATTCACACTGACTGCGGTGCAGTGTTTTCACAAGGAGTCTTTTTTTCCAGATGCTCGTGAAGTAAGAGAAATAACACGAGCTAGGTAGGAAGTGAGACATGTCTTAGCAATCTGCATTTGGCATATTTCAAAATAAAACTTGTGTTGCATTGTTTTTCCAGCTCTTGTTTTATTTTTAAAAGGATAAAAAAAGATAAAACTACAGTTAAAATGACAAAAAAAGATTGCGAGTAAAAAAATTTAAGTCTAGGTGGAAGTCTCGAACAAGGGACAGGTCTCCAAATACCTTCTCCCCATCTGGAAACACAGAGTTGTTGCTCCATAATAGGCAGCAGACGGCAGAGATACGTGCCCTAAAAGAGCAGCTTTCTGCACAAGTGCAGGCTCCCAACAGAGCCGTGTCCAGGACTTTTAAAATGGGGTGGCCCATGTGGAGCACTTGTTTATGCATGGGTGGCACCAATGGTTATGCTTATTTATTTATTTAATTATTTATTTACACAAATTGTTTATTTATTTATTTACTTGCTAATGAATTTTGGAGTTTCACATTGCACAATCACCATTTTTTCTATTCATCTTCTAGTTTCGTGGTGGTTAGCAAGTCACTTCTTGTTTGGGGGCAGCAGTAGCTCAACAGGTTGAGCGGGTTGTCCAGTAATCGTAAGGTTGCAGGTTCGATCCCGGCTCCGGACAGAGAAGTCTGCTGTTGTGTCCTTGGGCAGGACACTTAACCCCCCTTGCCTGCTGGTGGTGGTCGGAGGGACCGGTGGCGCCTGTGCTTGGCAGCCTGCGCTGTCAGTGCGCCCCAGGGCAGCTGTGGCTACATCGCAGCTCATCACCATCAGTGTGTGAATGGATGAATGATACACTGTAGTGTAAAGCGCTTTGGAGTCCTTACTCTGAGAGGCGCTATACAAGTGCAGGTCATTCATCATTTATTTGTTGCATTATCGCCACCAACTGGAGTTGAGTGGGACTCTAAATACTATTTATGTGAATATGAAAAAATAATAAATAATATTAATACTACAGAAATGTTCTGTAGGCCTGGGCTAGAAGACAATGTTAAAGAGCGGGTCAATTGAGCCTCGGAGTCCTTCTCCACCCACGTATCAATTTTAAAAAATGCAACATTAGTAGGCGTTGCCTGGAGGACCGAGAGGGCGGAGCCGCGGCAGTGACGAAGACGATGGCTAACTAGACGAAGCTAGCTCCCTTCACTCTGAGCAGTTATTAGAAGTGGAGGATGTTTCTCCCCCTCCTTACCCAGACACTCGAGAAGAAAGGGACCAAGTCTATTTGGAGGAGACAAGCGGACCTGAGCCTTATTGTTGTGAGCTTGTGAGTTGCCTGTAACTCCCAGAACCGACCCAACAAAACCACCTCTGAACGGTAAGTAGCCGTTAGCCATAGCATTGGATTAGCTGCAGGGTTTGTCTCCACGGCCCTAGAGCTAGTATTCAGCATGTTTTAGAGGTTTATCTGCTTCAGCACACCTAGTTTTAATCAGCAACAAATAGCTGAGCTGCTTAACAGTTAATCTAACCTGTTAAAGTAGGAAAATCCACTAAAACGTGCTGGATAGCAGCTCTCCGGTAGCCCTGGGCTCAAGTTACAGTCTGCCGCATAAAGTTATGAAAATACCCCATGAGAAAATTATTCTGTAATGTGTTCAGCTCACTAAAACTGCCATGATTTATTTATTTACTAATAACAGCTGCTCTCTTGGTTCTAGGTCCTCTGGTGTCTGCAGCTGGTCTCTGGTGTCTGCAGCTGGTCTCCTCTGCTGGTGTCATCAGGATCAGGAGCTTCCAGAAGAATGTGCCTTTCAATGACTCTTTCCCCCTTATTTGTTATATTAATTAAATGAATCTCAATTTATATATTTCCTGTTTTTGTTCATGTCCATAAATACTTAAACATGCTTGAAATTAAAACAAGCTTTTAACAGTGAGGTGCTAGTTTAATTCATCACAATAGAGCTAGTTAAACATGCAATGTGATAATTCAATTAATGTAATTTATAAATATCCATTAAAATATCAAAACTGGGATCTATATGAGATATTTGGCAGCACAAAAAAACTTGTCAAACACAATATTTATTATAATAATTGGAGGCAGACAGGAGACAGAGCTGATGGAGGTTCTCAGTCATCGAAGGATGGCTGAAGGCTTTCCAGGAACAGGAGATGTGGTGTTGTCTCTTCTCTCTCTATTCTGCCAGATGAGCTGATAGGTTACAGGTGAGTGAAGACATCCTCATGCTGTCATAACCAGATGACAGGAGTTATCAGGTGATCAGCCAGGCTAATGAGATGCAGAAAGAAAACAAATTCAGGACAGTGTACAATAATATGTGGTGTTGCTCACCTTATGTGCTCTTATAGTTATTAACGTGTGCCTGCCTCATGGTGTAGAGTCCATATTTTGCTGAGTGTCCTGCAATAATGCAGGTTATTAGTTAATTTACTTTTGATAGCAAAAACAAAATATTTAATGTAAAAGTTGTTTTCCAGGTGAATCAGCTCACACGTCACCACCAAGTGTCACGGGGGCAGAATCAGTAGCCTCCGTCATGATGTAATCACATACTTATTTAATTGTTAATATCTTAAAAATTCTGAAATGTTTCAATTTTTTTTTACCTTGAACAGTTCACTGAGCTTGCACTGTCACTGAGGTGGAAGCTGGAATCAACAGCAGACACCTCACACCTTGGTCTTTTCAGGGGGTGTGGCCGCTGCTCTGGGACCTTCTGGAAGATGAATTTTCATCATGGTCCCCGTGGGTCACCAGACACACTGCGGCTGTGAACTCCATTCTGGCTGGCTATGTAAAAACAAAGAAGCAGCACATTTATAAATGTTAAAAAGAGCATAAAATCACGTGTAACAATAATCTGTAAAACAAATTAAAACTAGAAGGTAATAAAATGTTTACATAGAAGATTATTAAAAATAATTCACCTTTGCTACAGGGAAGGTTTCACATCAGCCTGGACAAGTGCATTCTTGCAGCTAAATCAGTCTGACAGCCAGTGTCTTGGGTAGATTTAGCCTGAAAAAAAAAATAGAAGCACATTGTTGTTGGGAGTTTATAAAGTCAGATAATATACAAAAGAATCTCCTATATAGGCGCTTTATAACATTCCTAGTGTGTGATCGTTGTTATAACGTAAAAGTCAGTCACATATGATGTGGAGAGCCTGAAATGTGACCTCCTGAACAGAATTCCTTACAGAACCGGGTCACAAGCTGGATTTCACGCTGTAATGCTGTCTGTCAACTGGTGCTGCGTCAGTTAGAGCCACTGTTGCAGAATTGCCGACTGACTAGCTAAAGGAAGTGAACCACGTCTCTCAGACTTTGCATTTAGGTAGGGAATTGTCTTTAGAAGACGTTAAAACGTTTATTTAGCGTACTCACCTCAGACTGGAGCCCGCCGTGGTGGGGGAGCAGAGTCGGTGGGCTGCATCTAAATCGCGGAAGAGCCACGGTGGTCAGCCTCCCTCTTCAAACGGAGACGTGCAGAATCGCGGGTAAAATGCCCACAGAGTCACCGCAAGCATACTACACTACACCTACTCACCAATACTAAGACGATATGGAACACTAAACCCGAACTACTTTCCCAATTACACTAACAGCCAAACACTAACTAAACTACAATATCCAACAGCCAAATCTAACACTAAATAAGTATTTATAACACTAAAAGATATGCTAAGACTAGGATATGCTAATGCTATATGCTAATACTGAACTACCGCTGACCTCCTACGCTCACTTGCAAATCCAACTGCACTCGCCACAGGGCGTGGCCGAGACGCTCGTTGCTTTTATAACTTTGGCACGGAGCTGCTACGTAGTACTCTACTGGTTTACGTAGTACTTTACTCTTTAGCCATTGGCTAAAATTTATTCAAAATGACTCAAATTCTATGTTTTCAGCTGAAGGTGGCGCATTACTGTGGTTTTTAGACAGAATTTTTAATTTTTAAAGAAAATGCACCAAAATGCTAAAATAAAGAATGCACACATTTAAAACACTATTAGACACTCATTTATACAGTTCATCAGCAAAAAAAAAGTTAATTTAGACCTAACTTGCTCTTTAAAGGTGCATGCCACCACACACTATTTTTGGAGTTTACAACTCAAGCCTTTTGTCGACAATGTTAAATCAATTTAAACTGGAACTTAGTAGGGTGGCACCTGGGGTGGCCAATCAGATTCTAAGGGTGGCATGTGCTACCCCAGGCCACTCCCTGGACACGTCCCTGGCTCCCAAAACTATGGAGGCATTATGCAAAAACATGGAAAGCTCTTTGGAAAGCGAGGAAGCTCTAACTGATTTCTTTCAGTGTAGAACCACTGAAATATGTCTTGAGATCAAACAACAGCACGCAGAAATTCTGTCTCTTAAGGAACAGCTTTCTGAAAAAGTGAAAAGCAAAACTCAAGAGGCCAAATCCCATAAGTTTCAGCATCTAGCTCTGAACCATTACTGCAAACTGGGTCAAGAAAAGTCTGAAAGAGAATAAAAAACAGAAATAAACAAAATACAAAGATAGTTTATTGGCATCTTGTAAGACCCTCGGAGACAGGCTTTACATTAAGACTAAACGTGAGTCCGTACTGCAAGACCAGCTAAACACAGCTATGACACGTCTGCATGAGATACAAAGGGAAGAAGAGGATTTTAAGAGAAGAGAAGCTGAATTATGTTCCCAGCAACCAGAACGAAAAGCAGAATGCGATACCAAAAGTATTGCCTCGATAAATAACGATAGACTGACCGTTGAGCCACGGGAACCACAGGTCAGGCTGGAATCCTGGCTAACTAAAGAACAAAACCACTAACCAGATCTCCTGCAGGTTCAGCTTTCCTTGAAATCAGGAAACATCCAGCAGCTATATTAGCTAAACAAGATGGTATGAACAAGAGCAAATCTCACTCTGTTCAACGTTCTGCCACAAAAGCCAGGATCTTTATATATAAAGCATATATCTTTATATATAAAGATATATGCATATATCTTTATATTTAAAACATGTTTTTCAGGCTTTTAATCAAACAGTTCTTGAATCACTCTTAGTCTGACCCCTCACCTGAGGCAAAGTTGCCCTTGACCTCTTCTGGAGCTAACACCCTGGCAAACCAGCCTTAGGAATCATGTGGTACACAAACCCATCCACTGCGTTAAAGTGGTGATTCAACAGATCAGATGTTTTTTTATTTATTTATTTTATTCATTGCAATACAGACACACACACAAAGGATCGCCACTGACTTCTGTTCATTTTAGTGACTGGATTGTGTCTAAACCTAACCCCAGCTCTAACCATAACTGGTCTACTAATAAACCTAACCCTAACTAAGATTTGATTCATCCCATATCTCTTAAACTAATGAGCAGAGCTCTGTAAAGTGGATGTATAGACCAGTACACCAAATGTTTTACCTCTGTAACACATGGCCACAATCTTGCATGCCCCTTTCAAAATTCCTTCAGGAATTTTCTACTTATAGTTCGTTTTCCCATCCTAATGATTATAATGATAAAACAATAGACTTCGCTAAAAATACACATAATTTCTTTTACTCATGCACGGTGCATGATGTAATATGCTAGCTAAGATTTAACCACCTTCCCTGAGTTTAACATCAACTTTGTAAGGCTTTCATAATCCCACCATCATTACTTTTACAAACGCGACTGTAAACATGAAGAGAGACTGAGCTAAATGAAGGCAGTTTACCGATTTTGCAGAGATACTAATAATTGGCGCATCATAGATCCATGCTTGATGTCCGTGGTCTATGCCCAGCTGCTCCAGGTCAGCTCATCAAAGCGACTGTGTAGTTTTTACTGTTAATTTCTGGAAATATCCATCGAATTCTTGCTGATAGTAAATGAAATGATGCCCAGTTGTTGAAAAGTGTTGAACTGATTAACAAACTGTTGAATGCATGTTCTAATGTGCTGGAAGTCTGTCTGAAGGCTTCTTAGTGAATAATAAATAGAGTCACAGTCACTACCTGCGTTTGAAGATGTTAACAGAGATGACTCAATAGGCAAAGGCTGACTCCGCTTGACTGCATTTCGGCCATCTTCAGAAAATGTAGGTAGGTCGCAGTTCTCTGGCTCTTGAAAAGTCACCTCACATATCTGCGGAGCTTCGGTCCCCGTTTTCATTTTCTCAATCTGTGTTTTCGTTTTAGCATGACAGAATTTCTTTAACAAGTAAATCCTCAACATATCGAGTCTGTTTCCTAAAGTTATGAACTTCCATCTCATATTCAGCTTTGAGTTTTTTCTGTGACCGAGTTAGTTTCTGTGTATTGGCAGGTCCCCATGGACGCCTGAAAATCATCTGCAGCGTTAGCGCCTTTCCTTTCTGGAGAGGGTTTCTTTCACCTTTCAGTTCCTCAGTCACTTCTTGAGTCACTTTCTCTGAGCTTTCAGAATGAGCTGTGTTTTTATCCACTTCTTCAACTATTTTGGGTTTAAAAACCATTTTCTTGGCAGCAGCCAGTCCAGACCTGAGAGACCTAAAAATCCCCAACAAAGATTTAGGTTCTTTGCAAGTCTGGATGTCGTTTTTGTTTTTCAGATCTTCAGATTTGGTGTTTGCACCAGCAACGCCGGTCTAGTTTATGGGATTCATTTCATCACATAAAGTCCTAACTTTTTCAAGAGCGATCAATAATTCTTTCTCTGCCATTTTGAAAGTCCTTATGTTCTCGTGTTCCTCCAGCTTTTGTAGTTTTGTCTGTTCTGTCACCAGCTTAAATGTGTCACTATGAGCCTTAATTTCTTCATCCAGTTTGACCTGAAGTTTTTCAGCCTGCTTCTCAGCACGCTCACATCTTTTTTGTAGTTCCTGGTTTAAAAACTCCATATGCTCTAAAGATTTCAGTAAGTCAGACTTTTCCTCCGCAAAAGCTCTTTGTTCTGCACTTATGATTTCATAGAGGCTGGCTTTTTCAGCTTTGAGGCATTTAATAAGGGTAAGGCCTTTAATGTTTGCTTTTCCACGAACCTCTCGATCTTTACCAGGGTCTGGCACAGGGACTGAACACTGACGTGTGGTAGGTTCTGCTGTTTCACTTTTTAAAACAATCTGTTCATTCGATTCATGGAAACGGATGATCATTGTGTAATGAAGTTAATTTACATCTAATTACGGACCGTAAGACATTAAGATTGCATATCAAGTATGAAATCCATCTTACGGACCACTGAGTTGTTTAACTAGAAGATCGGAACTTTTTAATGTAGGGATTTGTAACACTTTGTATTAACTGAGAGACAAGAGAAGAGAGAGAGTCCTTCAAACGTTTAAGATGATTTATTACTAAATAATTTTAAAGAATTTAAACAAGACTAACTCTACTAATGATGGATGTATCTGGTATTAATGAGATGTGAGATGGTTGATGTGTGTGAATGAGTGTTACTATCAGAACTCTTGTATCCGGAGAGGCAAGTCTGAGTGGGAGATGATGTTTTGCTCCTAACTGTGATCATAACTGTGATCAGAGTTTGGCGGGAGTTTTGTAAACACATGAGACGCCATTTTTGTCGCATCCACACATACCCTCAGAATGAGACCTCCTTCACGGATCCAGAATGTCAGGTCCACGGACCCTCCTTTCGGTACTGGAGCCGGTGGTACAACGTCACAGCACGACTAACTAGTCCTTGGATTGTCTCCAGGTAAAAAGTGACAGGTGGTTCACAGCATCAAAGGGGGACCCTCCTTGGGTCAGTGAGTTCAGCTTTATATATATATATATACATACACACACACACACACACACACACGTGTGTGTGTATGTATATGAAACAAATCACTATTTTTGTCAATCTTTAATGTTCTCTGGTACTTTTAAATTACATTTATTTTAGAAATCTGAACATCTGAAACATTAGGTAACTGTTTTGTAATAATAAAAGAAGTTTTAAACTAAAATCTTCACACATTAGTGCAGAACAGAACTCAATAAAAAAGGCATCAAAATATCAATTCTCAAATTCTCTGTTTTAAATGTTTTCGTTAAAAATAAGAAATGAATAATAAAAGCAAGGAGACAAAAATGTGTGTTAAAAACATGTTAAAGTACTAAAAAGGATGCAAGACATTCAGGAAGTCGTGATATTGGGATGTGGTTTGGGTGATCACCGCAAAATCATGACATATCATGACATTTGTATTTTTTATTTATTATTTTTATTTTTTATTTAAATTAATTAATTAACTTAAATAAATTAATCAATTAACTTAAATAAATTAATTCTATGATGTCATAAAGGCAGGGGAAGAAGCCAAAGTGTGTTGTTTCATTGGGTGAAGCCAACCACAACTACACCGACAATAACAACACCACCTTTTACAACATTTTATATTATATATATATATATATATATATATATATATATATATATATATATATATATATTCAATTCAAGTTTATTTATATAGCGCCAAATCACGACAAGAGTCATCTCAAGGAACTTCACATAATAAACATTCCAATCCAGGTCAGTTCATTAAGCCAATCAGAAAAAATGTTTCCTATATAAGGAACCCAGCAAATTGCACTAGTCAGTGACTTTACAGAAATCCTCATACTAAGCAAGCATTTAGCAACAGTGGAGAGGAAAACTCCCTTTTAACAGGAAGAAACCTCCAGAGGATCCTGGCTCAGTATAAGCAGCCATCCTCCACGACTCACTGGGGATCGAGAAGACAGAGCGGGCACGCACGCACGCACACACACACACACACACACACACACACACCAAGCAATGTGCCTATGGTTACATTGTGATTTCTTAGTAAAAATTCTATTTGGTGAGGGATAAACTTTATTGTATTTATCCTAGTGAATCTATTGTTAAACAGGTAAACTAGCAGTAGCACATCCAACGTCAAGGAATCAAAAAGTTATTATCAGGAGAGGGAGAATGTTTAAGTGGTTAGCAGCAGAGTGCTAGACGATGGCTCCCTCCATGAGGACACCACAGCTCAGCAGAATATCACCGTAACATCCTCTGGGGAGAAAAACACTTAGAGGAAAAAATAAAGTTAACAGCTGAAATTCCAGAAATTAATACAGTTAAAGAGTAGATTGTAGAAGAAAGTAGTAGAGTGTGAAAAGTGGTCAGTGTATCCTCCAGCAGTCTACGCCTATAGCAGCATAACTACAGAGATAACTCTGGATAACCTAGCCTTTTTAGATGGAGGCATGTTGGAGGCAGGGCAAGGGAGAGCCATCTTTACCGACTGTACACTCCACCTCCCTCTACTCCCCCACTTGTCCAGATGTAGGCTAACATCAGATTTTAACCATAGGCCCTATCAAATAAAAATGTTTTAAGCCTAGTCTTAAAAGTAGACAAGGTGTCTGCCTCACAGACTAAAGCTGGGAGCTGGTTCCACAGGAGAGGAGCCTGATAACTAAAAGATCTGCCTCCCATCCTAATTTTAGATATTCTGGGAACCACCAGTAAACCTGCAGTCTGAGAGCGAAGTGCTTGGTTAGGAACACATGGAACAATCAGATCACTGATGTATGATGGAGCTTGATTATAAAAAGCTTTATATGTGAGAAGGAGGATCTTAAAATTTATTCTGAATTTAACAGGTAGCCAATGTAGGGAAGCTAAGACAGGAGAGATATGATCACTCTTTTTAATTCTCATCAGATCTCTCTCCCTCTCTCTCTCTATATATATATATATTTTTTTTTTTCCTTGAACTCCTGTCCATTGGCTATCAGGCTCCTAGTGTTCCACTGAGGGACACAAAAAGCCATGATGTTCAATCATAAACCTTCAATCTACAGTGGAGCGTGGCTAGATCAACAAGCAGAGCAAAATGTTTATGCATCCAAGTCTGTCTAGATTTCTAGGCTTGGAGATCATTTCAGTACCCACAAACTTTGGTGACTGTAATGTGTAATATTTATAGGTCTTTACAAAATAAAGGATGGTCATAAAGACCTTTACACTAAAACAGACTTCAAACTGGCTACTCTCTTTAGTTCACCTAAAACAACCACGTAAAAGAATCTGAGCATAAAAATAGCCTTAATCATTAACATTTAATGCCATTATGGTTGGTTAATTTATCTAAATGGTGACTTTAGTATTTCTCCATTTGCTTCTATCAGCCATCCTTGAGCATAAGTTTATTCAGTAGGAGTACAAAACTTTATTATCCCTAATGGGGCAATTTGTCTTGCAGCCAACATTAACAGTCAGAGACCACACAACAAACAGGACAGTCATCATACAACCAGGGTGCAGACATCAGGTTTGCCAGTCTTATATAAGGCCGATCACACATCACTGACAATACGAACACTAACAGGGAATAATGAACTTTTATACCTCTTCAAGTTGTATCGTACCGCCCTGCATCTGCGAGCTGATGGCAGCAATGTGTACCCACAGCACAGAGGGTGATTGGGGTCGTGGATAATAGCTTTAGCTTTCCTCCTAACCCTTGATCTGTAAAACTGAGAGACATCTACAAGACTTCTTCATGTAACTTTGCTGCACATTTTGACGATGTGCTTATGGTGAGAGACTCAAACCAGCCAATAAAGGAAAAAGCAAAAACAGACTAAATAAAACAAGAATAAAGCATTTTCATTAGAGTTCAAAGAGTCAGTTCCAAAAGATTTATGTCAAGACGTGTTCACAAGAAGAAAGGCTTCTTTATAACTAGTAAAATAAAGTAAGATAAATATATAAACCATGCAAAGATGTCATTTGATAAGCGGACTTCATTTCCAGCTCTGTTTAAGCAGCAGGTGCTGCTAATCTCTTATCGATGGCTCGATGAATTACACCTGTTACTTTATGCACCACCACGGAGAAGAAAACATTAAACCCTGTCTGGAGAAAGTGAAAAGAAACTATTCAAAGACATTTTAAATGCATGTTTAATTTTTAAGAGAATACTAAGCATCGTGTCATTTCTGTATGTGTCTCTACATAAAATACAGATCTTATTGTCACCAAAAAGATGCATAATGCCACAAATGAATAAATGATTGCAAAGACTTTCATAATACAGGCAGTTTTAAAAGTGACATATCCATAAAAAGGTACTGGGGTTTAATAATAAAGGCAGTTTATGCAGCACTTTGCCTCTCACTGTCTCTCTCTCTCTCTCTCACACACACACATGCGCGCACACGCACACATAATACTTCTAATGTTCTGCATTTACACACACCCACGTACAACTCCTAAAAACCCAGGTACGAGATAAACAAGTAAAATTTGGTCCCACATGACCAGAAGTAATCAGTACCAAACCTTTAGATATGAATAATTATGCATAATTTGTGAAGCTAAAAAGATTTTGGACCGTCTTACAGACTTGCAACCAATACCAATAAAAACTGAATGCAAAATTTAGTCTGACTTCAACTCTTTTTCAGCTCTCTGAAAACTTGTGTGAATATTTCTTCTCTCACTTAAATCTGACACTTCCAGTTAAATTAAAACAGACTGGTGACTCCCTTTTGCTTTAAAACAACAAAACAATAGATTTGGAGTAAACAAAACACACATTAACAGTATATTACATATTTATAGAGCAAAAGACTAACAATTGCACATAATGGTTGGCTAAAATAGTTTAGGGAGTAACAAAAAATGGCACAGATATAAACATTTGAACAAAAGTGTACATTTGAATTTCTTGATTTTCCACAAAAAATATTAAAACGTGAAATAGAAAAGCTGCAGAGAAAGAATGAAAACAAGATGTGTGTTTAATTTTCCTTTTTTTAAAACAAGCCCTTGCTCTTCTTCAGGTTCTGCTGTTTCCAGTTCGCCATGGCGTTGAACTCCACGCGACTCACATCAAAAAGTGTCTGCAAAACCACCGAAATCAAAACAAGTAAGTTTCTGGACATGTTTATTTGTGTATTTCAGACAAATATGCAGCACAGGTAGGTAGGTGTGTGTCACCTTGAAGTCGTCGTCAGACAGGTAGTCCTCCAGACGCTGAGGGTCCACTCCTTCCGGTAAGGGCTTCCTGGTCAGCTCTTCGATGGAGTACTGCTGCTTGCTGAGCTTGGACAACACATCTTTCACCAGAACTGCTCTGTTCCTTGAGCTTCCAGCCTGCAAACAGATTCAACCCAAAAATGTTAACCCAACAAATTAAAGGGTTTTCTGTCATTTATGAAACAAAACTGGAAGAGATGTACATTTGATGTGACACTGGTGTCCTTCTCCCAGTGTGGGAAGATGTTTGTGAATGTCAGGGGCTCAAAGCCCGCTACGACCAGGTAGGCCAGAGGGGGGCGCCGCAGATTCTTCTCTGTGAATCACAACGAGACAGTCAATGAAACTGGTACAAATAATGACTAAAGAAAAAAACAAGCAAATATTTGATGTGACTTCTGATACTTCAATATGTATTTATAACACATTTATATGGACATTTTCACATTAATAAAGTAAAGGTTGCATGTCTGCAATGAGATACTGACTCAGGGACAGTCTCAATTACAAGCCCATTATTTGTTTGGTCTATTTTTTGTTTATTTTCTGTTTTTTTTAACACATACAAACATAAAATTATAATTAGAACATTAAAAAAAAACAAATCATTAGACACTAATGTTCAAAACACACGTCACTTCCCTCATCGTAATCCTTATTTCTTTATTATAATCAACTATTTATTTATTTATTTATTTATTCACGATACATTTTGTTTTCCTCTTCAGTAAAAAACACAGGGAATGCTGCAGTGCAGCTCGCCAAAATAAGAGCATTGAGAAATTCCTTCCACAACTATGTTTCTGATTGTTAATGTTACTAAAGCCTTCCATCATTACAAGTGTGTGTGTAGAGTGAAAACCTTTACAGACATTACATTCTTTGATCACCAACAAGATTGTCTTGAAAGGACAAGGAAAGTATCTATGTTTATGTTTATGTTTATTTATTTCGCAGACGCTTTTATCCAAAGCGACTTGCAGTTTATAACCTATAGGTCATGTTGTGATCTGTGGGGGAAACCGGAGTACCCGGAGGAAACCCACGCATGCATGGGGAGAACACACAACTCCACGGAGAAAGGCCGCAGCCTAGTTTCGAACCTGTGACCTTCATGCTGCGAGGCAACAGTGCTAACCACTGCGCCACCATGCAGCCACCATGCATCTAGCGCTCACATTTGCAGACTGCAGACACTGATTTACATCAGAAAGTGTCAGAGGTCAGGAGTGAGTCTGAAGTTTCTTTTTATCTAATAAGAACATGAATGTAAAAAGGAAACGCGTGTGTGGGAAAAGATGCTTTTCTGGAATGTGGATGCTTGGAAACAAAACTAGTCAAGTCAAATGTTATTTCTATAGCACCTAATAATGGCAGCAGCCCTGAAGTGCTGCACACAGAGCAAAAAACACATAAAAAAGGTGACAAAGAATAAAAACAACAATAAAAGATACAAAAACTTACAAAAACATTAAAAACAATAAAACCATAAATGAATCTGAAGCCTGAGTACTGGAGGTTAGTAGCAGAATGCAAAGGCATACAAAGTTAAACAGGGCCACAGTATCAGCTGTGTTAGCCTCTAGAGGTCGACTGTTCCACAGCACAGGAGCCACCACAGAAAAAGATCCATCACCCTTAAACTATACCAAAAACATTTCGGTATGCTGCACAACCGATTAAACACTACACACACATGATCTCTAACCTTTGCAGTACTGCAGCACGGTCTCCATGGCACACTTCCTCTCACTGTCCCAGCGCATCTTTGCAGAACCGGTGCACTGTGTGTCATCAGGCTGCCAGCCCTGCCACAGATACACCTCCATGCGGTTGTCCAGCAGGAACAAGGCTGAACAGAAATAAGAAATAAGATATCGGGTCTTAATGATTACCTGTACTTCAGGTTGCTCGTGTTACCTGGCTGCTGTGCAGAGTAGAGGTTCTCCTGCAGGAAAGGCATAGCCATCACTCCCTCTGTCACTCGGGCAGGATACAGCAGCTCCTCCCCTTCAAATGCTCCAGAGCTGGCACTCAGCCGGAAGAGCCGGGGTGTGTAATTGTACTTCCCCGGATCTGGAGAACAAACACACTCTCAGTGATGACCCTCTGTCCTCAAAGCTAAGTCGTTTACAGATTTCTCACCAGACGTACCTTCTAGCATACAATCATAAGACTTCTTGTCCAGTGGGCCTAAAGCCTGCTCAAACTCTGCAGGCTCAGATCCTTCCTCCACCTCCTCTACCTTCAGCCTGCTGGTGCTGTCCAGTCCCATCTCAGAGGGACACCTTTAAACCAAAAAACCTGTCAGTCACTGAGAATCAGCTGTTTACCCCTCCTGTTTTTTACCCATCTACCTCTGTGTTAGTTTATCCACGGCACTTCGGGCCACCAGCTTGGAGCCTGCATGAGTTTTACATCCATGCCACAAGTAGAGGCGACCTTTCTGAGCGTTGAGCAGAACCAGACTGGCCCGAGAACGCAGACTGGCATGCTGACACTCCACCTCTACAAGAGAGGCCTCCACTTCCGCTTCACCACGAGAGCAAAACAGCCTCCAACTACCTGAACACCATAATAATTCATCTAAACTCATCTGAATCTGAGCATTCATGGTCTTCTAAAGCATCTTGATCGTGTTTGTACCTGTGACGGTGGAGCCGTTGTCCCTGCTGCCCTTATGGATGACTAATCGTCCTTGAAAGAGCTGCAGGAAACACGGCGGCTCTTTTCCTTGACTCACCAACACCTGAAAAGAATGAACACAGTTTGTTTTACAAATAAATAAGAGTCCAAGGTTCTACTTTAGGATTTACTGCATCATGTAAGGTAAATGAGGCAGTATTGAATGATTGGTTCTGTGTTTGTGATGAACTGGACCCACCTGCGCCCCCCGGTGGCTGCCCAGCTCCACGGTCATGAGAGCAGAGGTTCCTTTCTCGCTGGCGCTCGAGTGGCGTCCCTGCCAGAAAAAACAAGCTGTCCTCTCCCGCCCCGGTGCGCCGCTGCTCAGCTCTCCGGGTTTCTGACGCTTCCCAACTGGCACAACGAGGCAGAAACAAAGTGAAACCAGAGGATGGGACTTTTAACATCAATTACAACCATTTGTGTTCGCGCCACCCACCAAGCGTGGTGATGGAGTACTTCCAGCGGATGATGTAGGCGTCACATTCATGCAGCTGGCCGATGCTCTCCTCAGGCACTTCCTCCTCTCCGTGCTCTTTGATGTGCCAGGCTTCCACCGCTACTGTAGCCAGCTCGGCTTGTCTCCCATCCTCTGTCCTCACCAGGCCATAACCTCTCTGGACGTCAACCCCCTCCAGAACCATCTTTACTGGCACAGGCTCGTTGTCCAACAGAGATCTGGCGTCACATGGCTGCAGGTCCAGGTCAAACGGGGAGCGTACAGTGGAGGAATCTGGGCTCTGAGGGGTTTAAGGTTTTAAATATTTTAATTAATTTGAATATCTTTTTATTTGTTGCTCCTTTTATGTCCTCTCAGCCACTGAGATAGATATTCAGACCTTCAACTAGAACCTAATCCACTTTTGGCAGCAACAAAAGCCTACAAGCTCGGCACAAATGTCTTTCATCTCATCTACCTTGATGTCTTCTGCTTGAGCCGTTTCCTCTTTCTTCCTCTCGGCCCAGTCCAGGAACTTCTCCCTGAACAGGGACGTCTCGTTGTGCTCCGAGAGACGGCCAAACAGAGTCCAGCTGGGACGTCCCTCCCCCTGTCTGCATGGAACACACACGCACACGCAAACACACACACACACACACACACACACACACACACACACACACACACACACACACACACACACACACACACACAAAATCTCAGCAGCTGCACTGTCTCAGGTAAACCACTAGGGGTTGCTACAACACTAATTCTCATCTGAATAATAACATTTCTGTCTAACTGTAACTCTAATTGAACTAAAGGTGAAGCAGAAAAGCAGGAATCTGAAATGCCTTCTGAGTGTTCCTTTACTTCAGGCTGAGGAACGTCATACTCACAGTGGCACATCGGAGTTTGTGCAGGAGGCGTCTAAAGGGTTGAGTCTGCATTTGCTGTAGTCGTAGCTGCCTCCATAAAGCTGCTTGCCCAGTTTGACAGCTACTTTTCTGTCACCCAAGGGCACATCTTTCCCGTGCCATACGTACACTTCACTACCAAAGTCGAACACTAAAACCTGAGCAGGGGAGGAGGGAAGAGAGATGGTTGTATGTTGAAAAACAATAATTACAAACGGATGACGGGTTCACAACGCATCTGACTGATGGTACCTCTTTAGAATTGAGCAGCGTCACACTGGGGATGGAGGCCCAGGCATCTTCATGAGGGACCAGCTTGTCTCCCTCCAGTCTGTAGACCCCGTTAGAGTCCACAACACCACTCTCAAACTGCTCATCTTCCTCTGGACTCCCCGCTCCTGTAAAAAAACACACACACACATTCTCACGCTCAGCCTCGGTGTGTGTGTGTGTGTTCCTGTTTGTCGTTCTGATTAAATTCAAACGTGCACCTCTGTATTCGGCCTTTCCTCCGAGCAGACTCCAGAACTCTTTGGCCCATCGGCTGTCGGTGTTGATGCCCTCCTCCAGTGTAGTCACCTGAGGAGCCTTACAGCCGAGGTCCCTCTTGGTCTGAACGTAAGACGCCATCTCCGATGCCTGCTCACATCAGGGTATATACAGCAATCCTTAAGTAAAATTTACTACTTTTTAATACTTTTTTTTACTACCTTCAGAATTTTTTTAAAACCATCACAACACTAAATTGCAAGTGTTAATCACCGACCTATTTACACATATTTTAACATATATAACATACAAAAAGAATAGACTTAGAGACTCACTGATGTTGACAACGTATTGCATATATTTATTTTACTTAGAAAATAAGCCAGGCACTTCGTTTCAGCGGTTCAGACAGTTGACCAAGAGGCCTGAAATGATGCAGAATGACCACTGAATATGACGTCATCATTATGTGACCGGATATGCTAAAGTAGGGCTGCTCGATTATGGCAAAAACAATAATCACGATTATTGTGACTGAAATTGAGATCTCGATTATTTAAGACGATGTTTCAATTTATGTAGATTTTTATTTTTTTTATTTTTATTCAGTCATAAAATTGCTCAGGGCACAATCAGGGCAAAAATAAACAAGAAACAAGATGATCACTAAAATAACTCCTGATTCCCAGTATAAAAAGACCAATATGCTTATAGCTCATAGTTTATGACCCAAGGGCTATAGACCTTGGTTTAACTCATTTAAGTCTAACAGTACAGACCCAAATACCAATATCTTGCAAATACTGACAGCAAGAATTATACAGTGGCATTTATAACAAATACATGCAAATTGATGTTCACTAAATTTTGCATAACATTTATTTAGTCATGTCAAGGTGCTATAGGAGAGTGCACTAGCACCGTGTCCTCTGAGAGATTAGTTATTTATCAGCGTGAGGAACTTATTTCTACCTTATTTATAAACTATTTACAAGTCCATCAGTTAATGTAATAATTGTCCCAACCACAGCTGCACCCCACCCCCCAACCCGGTCTCACAGCAATCAGGGGCAAGCTGCACGTGTGTTTAGCACGCCGCACGCGCACATTTAGCCGTTTTTATCGAGGAGTCCGCAGGTGCGGTGTGTGTGTCACTCACTTACTCTGATTAATCCAACAGGGAACCGGCTCTGAGAGCTGTTTCTTTAGCGACTGACACATCACTACATCATTCCCTTTCCTAATGTCCTGAAGAACGGTCCGGAGCGCAGGCGGAGTGTTTAGCTAACCTGCAGGAAACGTCAACGACAGCTATCCAGAAAGTAGCTAAGGGTTACCAGAGATGTTTCTGAGGTGTTCGCTAGGTAGTAGGTACTTTTAAGATTCAAAAAGTCAAGAAGGGGGTCTGAGAAGCTGTTAGAAATAGCGTCAAAGTCGCCAAGTTGGCAACACTGTGGAGGAGCGCTTCATTTGCAACTCATAGCAGCGCAAGTGGGCAGAGCAAATAATCGGCTTGTTTTGTTTTTATAATCGTTCAAAACATTTCATTCGGAATATATTTCTATGTCGATGTTCAGAATACGACATCTGATAGTCTGAAAAAAATAATACCTAATTTGGAAAATATAATACCTCTGAGACCAAATTTAACACTTTTAATGGCCTTAAATTTGACTATTTTTATTTATCACTTTTTAATACTTTTTAAAACCCCGCGGACACCCTGCACATAGTATGTTTATCAACAAAAAGGCAGAAATAAAGAAAAAATAATACCCCCAAATGCATTGTACAAGACTAAGCTAGTAAAATCATGGCCTAATCAGCGACAGACAGTCTGCTATCTTTTTGAGGAATGTCAGATTGTGCAACAGAGTCACGATGACCTGCAGCGATTCAGAGAAAAGAAATATCTGCAGCTGACACGTTCATTCTTACTTGTACTTGTGTTTTCAAAATGGAGAAACTTTGATTTAAATGAATTATTTGTGGCATAAATTTATGACATTTTGAATTTAACTGACCACAGGTCTGTTAAACCGGATGATTGTTAACCTGCTGAACTAATTCCATCGGACTGAAACCTGATAATTCAGTAATAGTAAAGGTTTGATTCCACACAGTAATGTGTCACCTCATCTCTGACCCGCGACAGCCACACGTCCACTAGGTTAGGCACATCCTAACGTTACCAGCCAACATAGAAACATTGAGCCAAACTGTTGTAATAACCAGAAAACCCTCCATCCCACTAAAATCACGAGGCTGAATAAACCACACACACACACACTCAGCAAAATTAAGGGTTAGGTTTAATAATAAACAACCCAACAGGTTTCCTTCAGCAGGACCTGGGTCTGTTTTTCAGATGACTCATCGTGGTGCATGTCTAAACATGCATAGTTCTCAGAATTCCCCTTCAACAGATGTGAGTTTTACTACCTTAGACTTTTCTATGACGTTGGCGAACTCTCCGCTCCACATAAAGCAGTTCTTTGGTGTAATAAGGAGGAAGCAGTCGCCGCTGTTCAGGGAGCGAGCCGTTGGCTCCACCAAACGCACCTGGACATGCCTCCGACCTGCAGAACCCAGCAGCTTTTACTCATCTGTCTTTTATCCTGAAGACATGACTCCTTTATGGTCATTGCTCTACCTTTGATTCGGATCAACATGAGTTTATGGAAAGGAACCGCGCTGTTGTTGGTCACAACTTCGGTGGACTTCACACTACGCAGGCTGACCTTTCTGAAGTTCTCCTTGCTGGCGAGCCCCGCCAAGGCCACTTCGGACATGTTGGAATGTTTCGCCACTTTGTGAAGAAAAAATACACACTAAGTTATCCACCTGAGATGCTGAAGTGATTCTCTGTTTAACCAGCAGACAGCTAAACTTTGGTAACTGCAGTGAACAGGTCATGCATTTGCTATTCAGTGGCAGCTCGTCCATAGAGGGTGCTAGGGCGCTGCCCCACCAGTCTTACAGGAAGAGGAAAAAGAAGATAGGAATCACAAAATTAAACTAAACTACATCATATAGACTGTACATGCTGTGTGTAATCTGCATTTAAGTGTAATTTGAAAAGGTTATTTCACATTTTTACTACGACTGAATCACCTTGTGACATATTTCCTGTTCCTTTTGAGGGCAGCAATCGTTAACATTAACCTATGCTTAGTGGCGCATGCACGCCGGATCCCGCTCCAATACAACGAATACGTTTGCAGATGTTTGCGACCGAAACCGGGGGGCAGTCTCAGCTCAGGAATCCAGAAGCTCTCCACAGTTCACTGTTTTTTTTTTTTAAGTTCACCATTCTTTGTTCATTTTAGAGCAGCTGAGTGCACCTCGTGGATTATAATTTTTTTACTATGGAGAACTGGAAAATGATGGAATGTGACGTATGTGTGCAGTTTGCATATATTGGTGAATAATAGCCAGGTTTTTTGAACAACTTTGTGCTCGTGGGCCCGGCACCGGTCCGTTGGGTTCAAAGTGTGTGACGCATAAAAACGGTAGTTTGGCGTCCGCTAGTGGTGATATGTGGTTAGCGCATCTAAACAGAAGGCAAAAATGCATCCCACTAACAATTCACCAGCTGCCACCTGTTATTCGTGTGCATATAAGATGCCCCCTTCCTCTGATTTAAACTCTGAAAAGGTCACTGGGTCAGTATAGCCTGAGGAACACCCAGAAAGAGGAAGTGAGTGATGAAAAACTTTGAACAAGCAGCATAAAAAAAAAAAAACTTCCTGATGAGATCTGCTGTTTACACCTGTCCATTTGTTTGCTGTAGTTTATAATAACAAATGTTTAGAGGTGCCTTGGATGTGAACTTACTTCTCTCCACCTGGATCCTTTTGGTCTCCACCGAGGCCACGTTGAGCCTCTGTTCGGTGTAAACCTGCCGGATGTCGTTACGAGCAGCGAGAGCCTTCAGGGGGTTCCTGGAGCCTTGATTCCTCCTGGCTGGTCGCACGGCTCGCTTGTGCTCCGCCACAGCCGAGGTGAGCCTAAAGCCATTATCAGACACAAAAAATGCTAATAAACTGTTTTTAAACAATGCATTAGGCAATATTAGTTATTAATTAGCATTAATTAACAACATTAATAACAGTCAAATTTCTAACATTTTGCAAAAACAAGAAAAATTATCAAAGATTTCACAACCAGCTCAGTGGTTTAGTGATAGCGTCCGCCGTGGGACTGAGGGATCAGGGTTCAAGTCCCGGTCTGGTCATGGGACCCAATGCCTCCCTGCTTGCCACTCGGCTTTAAGGGTTAGGATTGGAGGGTTAAACCACCAAAAGTTTCCTGAGCGCCTGTGTCGGCAGCTAACTGCCCCCCAGGGGACGGGTCAAAAGTGGAGGACAAATTTCACACTCACCAGTGTGTGTCACAACTTGCTTCATGGCAAGAAGAAAAGGGAAAAAGTATGTAGGGTTTGTAGAAACTAACTTTGGTGTGCCGGCCTCCAGCTCACTGAGGTCCTCTTCTGTCAGAACCACGCTGGTCTCCAGTTTAGAGGAAGAGACGGATCTGTAGAAGCTGCTGAACGTCTCCTCGTCGTCCGGCTTCATCACCTCTTTTTCTGTCTCTTTCGTCACCTCGATGGTGGATGTTTTGGTTTTGCTCCCATCTGACGCCCCATCCCCCCACACAAACATACAGTCAAACAAGAAAAGAAATAATTAGAGTTTATTTTCTAAAGAATGCATTTTTTGCAAATTGTGAGGTGATTTTTATACAAAAGTCTTCAGTCATATAAAATACTGATGAAAGTCATTTCAAAATAAGAATGAATCACAATTTAACCATGAAATTGTAAATGCAGATAAACATTTTCTCCGCACATCCAACAGACCCTCTGATAAAATGTTTACATTTACTCGGGGAACAGAGCCGTGTGGATTATACCTTTACTGCTGAGCTTGTCAAGGAAGCACTGCAGCTTGTCGAGGCGTTTGTCTCCTTCCACGTTGATGCAACTTCTGCTAGAGATTTCTGACCAGAAGATTAAATGTGGTCAATTCCAAAACCCACACAGGGTGGACACATCGTTGGGTGTGGGGGACGACAATACCTTCAGGTGGTTTCACAGGAGTGGTTTTAGATTTCTTTGGTGAGGCGATTGCTGACTCTTCCTTCCCTAAACTTGAGACGAGACCTGGTGGACCAGACAGAAGGTTTTAGTTTTTGCTTTGTTTGTTTTTCTTGTTCCTGATTTTCAAATTTCCACAGGTCTTCCTTTGTCTTGAAAACTTCCCTCTACACTCAAAAAAAAAAAAAAAAAAAAAAAAAAAAATTCCTGGCCCAAGTAAACACAAGCTAATACTTAGTTATTTATATGATTTAACTCAAATTTATAAAATCACAACTGTTATTTATCAAAACGTTGAACAAAAATCTAAACTTGAACCTAAACTAAGAATGTTTAGTAAACCCTACTTAATCGAATCCCATTTGTAGGACTTCTAAAAAACTGCTAGGGGCAGCAAATCCCCAGCATGTCATTTGTGCTTCACCAGGGCTGAAAAGGTAAAAGGGAATATACTGTGCATGCACTAAAAAAAGACTCTTGGCCCTAGTAATCACCAACTAACATATTTATGTAAGATTTAACTAATATTTACAAAATCACACCACTTATTTATTAAAATAGATAAACTCCAGTCAAAAAACATCAGAAAATATGCCTTAAAATGGATCTTTTGACTTCATGTAACACAATTACATGGAAAATGCAAATGTAATTGTATTACAAGAAATCTACTTTTTTTCCCCAATGTTGCTTTAATTTGTCTTTATGGAAATAGTGTTGTACAGCAAACAATTTGACCTGTCACTGGTGACCAGAATCCATTAAAAAGCTGCTGGAAGCACAGGTGAAACAAACAAAAAAAAAAAAAAAAAAAAAAAAAACTGAATATGGTGCAAAAGCGATTAATCGAAAAAAAATAATCGACAGATTAATCGATTATGAAAATAATCGTTAGTTGCAGCCCTACTTCCTGAGCCTTTAGATTGCCTCTCAGTCTAAGTTGAATTGATTAAATAAATTAACTTTTGCACCAGATTCTAAAATTTCCAGTTTCACCTGTAGAAACAGAAACATGCTAAGCCTAACCTTTCTTGGCCATTCGTCCAGCCACGGTGAACTGGTCCGAGTCGTTGGCTGCTCCTTTGCCTTTGCTCTTTGACTGCTCCGTCTTCTCTTCGAGGATCTTTAGCCTATCATTCAGCGACATGGTGGTCTCCATATTGACTTTGGACTTCTGTTGGATTTACAAACAAGAATCTGTTAGACACACGCTGCATGGCGGTGCAAATGTTAGCACTGCTGCCTCGCAGCAAGAAGGTTGCAGGTTTGAAACCCGGCTGCAGCCTTTCTGCGTGGAGTTACATGTTCTTTCCCATGCATGCGCAGGTTTCCTCCGGGTACTCCGGTTTCCCCCACAGATCACAACATGCCCTACAAGGTTAACAATTGTATGTCGCTTTGGAGAAACGCCAAATGAATAAACATAAACAAACAGACACTACTTTATCTATTTCACACAAGAGCACATAAAAGGCCAGCTAAATGAGACAAAGATGTTAAAGGTCAAGAAAAAAAACACGTATTAAGTATTAAGGAATAAATATTTTCTCACATAAAAAAAGTGGAATATATAATGAACCCTCAAGTAAATGAAACCATCAAGTCAAAAACATCACACATCCTGACACCAAAGGCTCTTTACTGGAATTCTGTTCTCCACTGGAACCCAGCAGCCACATCTCAGTAAATAATATTACCCTCCTAAAAATTTAAAACGTTTTATGCCCCCACAGGGAATTTTATTGCCACGCAGCTTTTCTTCACTAATAATGAGCAACACCGTATGTGTAATTCAGATTCCTCTGTAACTGTAGGCTACACACAGAGAGGACAGGCCCAACGACAGAACGTGACAACATACGAGAAAGCCATTCCCAGAAGAGAAATGTTTACTAGCAGAATGCAACTGTGAAACATTTGTCAACAATTGCACATTATAATTGGAACTACTTGAAATTCGAGTGAAAGAAACAAATGCTGGAGATCAATTCAACGAGCAGCTTAGTGAGATCCCAGAGGATTTTTTATTTCTTTGTGGTTGAATGATGATCTGTGTGATCGTCTGACTGTCGTCATCTTTGCACTCTGTAGTCAATTTAAACATTTACAGATGTCAGCAGCTTTGAAGAGAAAAACATGTTTGGCTGGAGCTCAGCTAAGCAGCAGCAAAATGGCATGAGACATAAAGTCCCATAGTCATCATCACATACTGGTGAAGTTCATCTCCGCATCTGACCCATCACCATGGAGGGGAGCGGTGAGCTGCAGCTGTGGCTGCACGCGGGAACTATTTGATAGTTAACCCCCCCCAATCCAACCACTTATAGCTGAGTGTCAAGCTGTGAGGCATTGGGTCCCATTTTTAAAGTCTTTGGTATGACCCAACCGGGAATCGAACCCCGATCTCCCAGTCCCAGGGCGGACACTGTACCACTAGCATTGGCTCCACTGAGGGGTTTTGGACGGGTTGGGTCAGGATGCTCGTTTGTCTGGTTTTTTTGTAAAAGCAGGCCATACAACCGACCTGGCCCGCACCATTCATGGGCCCTCTTCGGTTGTAGGTCCATAGGACAATGGAGCGGTACAGCTAGGGTGGAATGGCAGGCACATGAGGTCCATGGACTGGGGAACCCAAAAAAAAAAAAAGTCACTGCTTGCAATTAGCAATTAATATTTGTTATTTTGTGGCTCCAGCAAGCAATAGCAAGGTTTGGTTGGCTTCAGAACTATAAACATCTTGCTCCATTGTCGGCAACAGCCACATACAGGACGATACACGTTTTGGTTTAACCCCACCTGCCAGCTAGTGAGAGTCCGACTGGTGATCAAAATGCTCTCTTGAATTCGTGACCCATATTGGTCCATACCGACCCACTCCTTTCTATCTTGCTACCAAGTGTTAGTATGATTAAATGGGATATGGATCAATGGTCTAATGAGGACACGCGTATTGAGATAATGGTGTATCTGTATATATTTGATTGAATTTGAATGACGACCAAGAAAACAACAATCTGGATACGTGTTGCTTAAATAACCTTCTTCTGTAAGGTGGCCAGGCTCAACCCCAGAGATATTTTGTTTCTTCTCCTCATCCAAAACAACGAGGAGGTGGTCTTAATTTCATCTAATCTAATTTTACCTAATCTCATGAAGGCGGTCCAGGCATCTGATTAGAATTCCTCCAAGTTGCTTATATGTTCAGGCCTGTATTTACAGACATCTCCCACTTGGACAGTAAATAATAGTTCTAGTAGAACAGCTGATACTTTACATATATTATTACTACCGCATTGTTTCACAACCCCCTATCCATTATGCCTAATGTGTATGTCGAGAAACTACTGTTGTACATAGTGTCTTGTCTCGTTTAATTCTTTGCATTCTTGGTGACTTTGTACTCTTTTGCTAGCTGTCCTGAGCTTTGGTAATGCACAAATGTCCCCACTGTGGGATCAATAAAGTTTTACCTCATCTCTTCTGCATTTATCCCACTGGGAGTATATCCCAAGACACTGGAGGGACCATATATCTTCTCTGCACTGCACATGCAGTGGGATTCCCCAATAGAAGCCGAAAGTATGTCTTAGATACTTCCTCAACCCGATCTTGGATTAGCAGAGAAAAATGGATGGATAATGGATGTTTTTAGAAAACCATTGCTCTAAATTAAAGGTGCAACATGCAAGAATGGCATAATGTGGTCAAATATGGGTACTGCAGTTTATTTCTATAAACAAAATGTCTCTTAGTCACTGCCGTTCTCTGAGTTAAATTGCTGTTTCCAGTTACAGATCAGCGCCAGAAGATTCTAGATAACAAGCAAATATAACTACACAGTTAGTTGATAAATACATAGTCATACATTGTTAGCACTCTTGGGTGTTTTACTGTAGGGAGCACTTACTACTCTTATTACAGTAATATGCCCCTGTACTGCTATGCACTTGCTGTTACAGTTATGAATAACTCAGTAAAACGACACGATTGACTCATTATTCACTTCACACACATTTCACTGTCGAGTTATTGGTAAAAGAAAATGCAGCTTGAGGTATTTTTAGAGCTGACTGTTTGCTTATAAGCATTGTTAGCTCAACGTTAGCTTCTAACCTGCTTCACCCAATATTAGAGTAAAACCAAAAGATGCCGTAGCTTCAGTGGAACAAAAAAAATTCTGAGTCACTCCTGTGTACCGGCTTCAGTCCTTTAAACAATTCTGGAGCTTTTTGCCTGCTGGTGTTAAATTACAAATCCTAGTGCTGCAGCGTTAGCTTTGGGGCAGACTCGGGAACCCCGTGGGCTCACAGATTATAAACAGTCACAACAACCTTCTTTTGTGTTTTTGAAAGGAGAAAAACTGACAACCGGTCAGTCGGCTGAGGATGAAATCAGTTTCAATGTATCCTTCCTTCCTACACGATTGAGACATTAGACTGTTTTGTGATTATTTTACTGTAGAACGATTACAAATTGCTCCTATAATGTCTATGTCAAGCCACACATTCATCTTCTGAAAACACATCATTCACACCCTAAAAAGACAAACACAACTCAACACGTCCAACTTAAGTAAAGCATAAAATACTTTGTGACTGACAGCAGAAAACAAATCTAACAAACTTCAAACACCATTTATCTATCTGTCCTACTTCACTCAAGAGTTTTTGCTGCTTTTGAATGTCAAGCATGTTCCACTGATGGTGAAATATGAAACAAAAGTTCAAAGAATCCTGGATAATTGGGTTGGCCTGCACACAAGAACAACTGCACATGCTGCAAATGTTTTATATTTTTGCTTCTCCTTCAAACACACTCTCAACTCAAACACAAATGAATAACAGAGCTGCCATGTTAAGCAGGAGCAACGTGGAGTTTAACCTTTTCACATGATGGATAAACCGCATCTACCTGCTGAGGCACCGGCTCTCAAACACACAACAACACACAACATCACACAACAAATGATCACCCAAATTACATCTTCATGTGCTTGATAATATTTTTAAAAAGATGTTAATAGTTAATGCTGCGATGGACTGACTCGCTGTCCAGGATGTACCCCGCCTGACTGCCCATTGACCACTGGAGGTTGGCACCAGCCCCCCCCCCCCCCCCCCCCCCCGCGACCCTACGTGGACAAAGCGGGTTCAGACAGTGGATGGATGGATGGATGGGTTAATAGTTAATGGTGATTCTGATGAGCAAAACCCAATCTGGACATGTCAATACAAACAGTATTGAACAGATGGAAACTGAGCATCTGAGTTTAAATGAGCACCCTGATGCTTTTGAATTGAATTTTCCTCTGGGATTACTAAAGCATTTTTAAATTGAATTGAATTTAGTTTTTAGCATCATTTAGCAGCTCTTTGCAGTCTAAATTATCCTCTGGGATAATAAGATTTCTCACATTCAACTTATTTTAAGAATGCATTTCATAAACATTGTGAGCTTAAAAGACCACATCAGCCTTTATACAGTGTGCATTAATCTCCTACAACCATGCTAACGCACAGAGCACACCATCTGTCTAAACACAAAGACTTCCAGCTCTCTCACAGTCTTACATGCTGTCACAACCCCTAACTATAAGCCCTTCTCTGGATTTGATCAGGGAGGGGAAATACCTTGGCCTGACAGGACCCCAGAGAGAGCGGAGAGGCCCCCAAACTACCACAGGAAACCCTCTTTTATTTTCTCATAAATCCTGCTATATGCTTTAGTGTTAGCAACTCTTTATTCAAACCCCTGACACAGATATCAGCCACCTGTGAAGCAGCAAAATGATTTCATGGAGGAAAAACCAACACAGTGGATGGCTCAGATTTCTCTGTGGGAAACAAAGAAGCTTAGAGGTTGTCCATGCAGTCACAGAAGCAACTTACTTAGCATGTAAATGTATGCAAAGCAGGCAGCACACACCATTCCCATGCACCAACTCACCTGAGGGGATGAGGAAAGGTTGATAGGCTTGAATCAAAGTAAGGGGGTGAAGTCTGCAGGTGCACACAGAGGAAAGGAGGAGCTAAGAGAGGAATAAAGAAAGAAAGAAAAAAGGGGGGAAAGAAGGAAAATTATAAGAGGATAGTAAGGGTGAAGCAGGGTGAAATTACAAGCTGCAATTTCTGCAAAAAGATTTTAAGCTAACAGATAATTTGGTCATTTTTTTTA